AAGAGACCAAAACAAAACAAGAAAATGAGTACTGGTAAGAGTAATCATAAAAAAGAAAATCCAAGGTGATATGAGGGAATTACAGGGGGTTACTTTAGATTGAGTGGTCAGAAAAGGCCCACCTGAAGAACTTATTTAGATTGAAAATCAAATGGTAATCCATATTTCGTAAAATCTATTGGCTTCTCATTTTTTAAAATCACATTTGCCCAGCTCTAGTCTTCAGTCACCTCTCCATGATTTCTTGAGGATAATAATAAAAATGCCGTAAGGGTTTGAGTAGTATAGCAAAGAAAACAAAATGGTCTCCACATTTGATATGTAGCATTTATCCCCTAAGATCTGAACACATTTATAGCTTTAGCAAGAAACCTAGATTATAACTTTTTTCATTATTGGTCAATGGTTAACTGTAGAGGTTCTTTTTAAAGATAACACTAGGAGCTATTTATTTTCAAGAAATGTCAATTCTGATTTTCCTCACTAGTATGAAAAGTTTAGTTGCAAGATTAAAGGAACGAGCCAACAAACTCAAATTACATATCAAAGGAAGCCAGTTTCTGTGAGAATCAAATGTATATGAACAGATATGAGTGAAGTTATAAAGGGTAAAATATTTTTCAGAAACCTAAATAAATTATGTAATGGAAAATTTTAAGTTGACTACTCATTTTTATCACAAGTTTTGGTAAATAAAAAAAAATAACCTTGCTAGTCTTTACTAGGTTAGAAACTCTAAAAGAGAGGTTAAAGCAGGAAAAAGAAACAATCAAAGTGGTTTCTGCCTTCTACTGCAATTTTTCATCAATTATGCCTGGCGTGGTAACCTATTTACTCACTGGAACATGAGATCTAACAAAAATATGGAGAAGAGGGTTATCAATGTTTATTCATGCTTTAGTTATTCAGTGACTTAAACATTTTAACTCCACCCTGAATTTTTCATAATACTTTTGTCAAGTGAAGAATCATGAGGTTCATAAACTTGGAAACAAGAACTTCCTTTCTCATAAAGGGCGGCAGCCTCCAGGCTGGCCATCCTGCAGGTTGGGAAGCATAGCCTCTGGCAGAAGCCAGGAGCAAGCACTTTGAGGGAGGGGTAAAGGGAACAGGAATTGATGTTGACTGGCTTGGCCATATACAACTTCAACAAGCTGTAGGAGGAGTCATGAATATTAATTAAAGGAGAAACATGCACATATAAGCTTCATGTCTTTTCATGGACAGCATGTTAAAAAAAAAGGCAACATTAACATGACCTGAGGGTGGCATTTTTGGCCCTCTGACATCAAAAGGTGAAGCAGAGGACACAAAACCCTCACTGCACATCGTCCTCAAGTGGGCCAAAACTTGTCTGGAGATGGTGGTCAGTTTCCAGAAAGGGATGCATTGTGAAATTAGTGAGCGGTCACATTGAAACTGCAAAGAGGTGGCTGCAAAGAGGGAGGGGGCGTCCAGTAGCAGCCTCAGACTATTCGCTAAAGGCAATAAAGGAATAAGTTGTTGGTTTCTTGTTTTCCAGAGCTGGTTTCCGCATCCTCCTTAGGAAAGAATTCTGGTTAGAGGTTAATAAGGAAGAGGCATACTGAGGTGTGTCTGACCTCCCATCCTGTCATGCTGGTACCTTAGTTTTGAAGGTTTCTCTGGGGTCCCCTTGGCCAAGAGGAGTCTGTTCAGTCAGCTGTGGGGCTTAGGATTTTACTTTTATTTCCTACTTTCCTACTCCTTCAAGTGCTAAAGCACTTCCAGGTTTATTATTCTGTAATTTCCATAAATAAAGTCCTGTGAGGAATAGAGAACACATTTTCATGCTCTTTGGGGGTAAGAAAATAATTTGACAGAAAGGTGACCATATTTAGAAAATCCATATGAAAAATAAATCAGAAAATGATTTACATTATGAAAATATTCACCTTAAAGGTTCATTATTTAATACATGATGGGAAGGCTTATGAACAGAGAAAGCTAAGAATTTAAAGAATTGTCAAGTAATGATCAGAAATGAAGACAAACCATGTATGAAATCATAAAGTCAATGAGAAATTATTAGATTTATATTACTCAGCAATGTATATTTTATAAAGAGATGATCTGTAACATTTCCAGCTTTGTTGAAGATGCATATCCTGAAAATATCTAAGGTTTAAAATGCCAACAATTCAAGAAAGGGTTACTTTCCAGGAGGGAAGCAGTTTGTTAAAATTATAAAAAGCATATTACTATCAACAAATGACACCCTAAAAACATCACTGACAAAGAATTTAATATACATAACACACAACACAAAATGCCAGCTTATAAACTACATATATTTTACTGCATTAAAGTCCCTCCAGAAATCTATTCATGCAATGGTCTAACTGAAATAAATATGATGGATTAGTCTGTAATGGAATAAAAAGAATTAGAATAGTAATATAGTTCTCTGTGTAAATACACGGGTGACAGAATTTCCCAGATTATTGAAGCCTCTGGAGAAAAGCAAATAGTTCATATTCCTCATGACACTGAACTGAAGATATTATTTATATACTATCAAAATAAAATATATTTGTTTTTGATGCAGTGTTAAGTTTATATTAACTGTTATGTACTTTACAATTGGTGTGGTCTTACAGAGAACAGGATGTTTTAAGATTTTTTTCTTAAACATGCTAAGTAAACCACAAAAAAGACAATCAAAACAGTTTCCTGTTCTTGGTCCCAAAGGAAAAATATGAGTGATGAGATGTGCCACTTAGAGACTGTGATTATAGTGTAGGCTCACACACAAAATGCCTACAGAACACATTCTTATGTAGTATGAAGAACGTCTAAAATCCAATTATTTTACCAATATGCAGAAACTTACCTGATACATTATTTCTGATTAGTACTTTGTATTTTTTTTTTCTTTTTTTTAGAGATGGAGTCTCACTCTGTTGCTCGGGCTACAGTGCAGTGGCACGATCTCAGCTCGCTGCAACCTCCACTTCCTGGGTTCAACCGATTCTCCTGCCTCAGACTCCAGAGTAGCTGGGATTACAGGTGCATGCCACCATACCCAGCTAATTTTGTATTTTTAGTAGAGACAGGGTTTCACCATGTTGGTCAGGCTGGTCTCGAACTCCTGGCCTCAAGTCATCTTCCCGCCTCAATCTTCCCAAACAAAACGGGATTACAGGCGTGAGCCACCACGCCCGGACAGTCTCTATTTCTTTTTAATGTACTGAAAAAAATAGTATCAAAACCAAGCACACTGTAAAGTTACAGTAGAACTTTGAAATAGATGTCTACTCACACAAAAGGCTAAATTTATTTCGTAGTTTTCTTACAAGAGAATTAACATCCAACCTTGAAGTTTGAATTTTGTTACCTGGCTAATCAGGAGTATTCCATGAATTAGAATTGCTAATTACAAAGCTTTTTTTTTTTTTTTCCTTTGGGATGGAGTCTTGCTCTGTGGACCAGGCTAGAGTGCAGTGGCACCATATCAGCTCACTGCAATCTCCACTTCCCAGGTTCAAATGATTCTCCTGTCTCAGCCTCCCCAGGAGCTGGGATTACAGGCCTGTGTCACCATGCTTCGCTAATTTTTGTATTTTTAGAGGCGGGGTTTCACCACGTCGGCCAAGCTGGTCTTGAACTCCTGACCTCAGGTGATTCGCCACCTTGGCCTCCGAAAGTGCTGGGATTACAGACGTGAGCCACGGTGTACAGCCCAAAGCTCTTTAAGTGTAACATTGAAGAGCTAAAGTGTAACTTTCTTTAATGTACTGAAAAAATTAGTACATTCTTTACATAGAGAATAGTTAAGAAAGTATAACCAGCACAGAATGTTAGCTGTAGTTAGCTACTGCAGTTCAAAGATCAGCAGGGCAGTAACTAGAGAAAGTTAGATCCTTGGAGTTCAAATAATGGTCCAAAATAGGTTGTCTTGAAAAATGGGATGATGAAAAGACAGTTCAACACATACTGATCTCACTTCCCTAAACTTTAACAGAGACTATTTGAACCAACTTTTTAAAAATAAGAATGTGATGGCACCTTGACTTGAGACCCCCATTAGTATTATAGTGTATAGTAGTTGACATATCCTAAAAGCCATGGATAATGAGGATGGCATGACTTAAATTACTCACAATTTCATTCAGGTTGAAAATCAGTTTGATGTTTAACAAAATAATCTCTCTAAAGGGGTGAATCATGCAAACCAATGAAGGTCATAGACACCTATGTATAGAGATAGATACTGCCATCATTCAAGCACTGCTCCTGGAAGAATTCAGCTAAATTAGTAATTATGGCACTTCTGGATTTCTGAAAAAATTTAATCTCTGGATTACTCTGGAAACATAGATATAATTTTAAATTAGCTCTTCATTACTTTGCAAACTTAGTTTTTCATTAAGTTGAACACTTACAAACTTGTACCATAAGTTTACTTCTGTTTAAAAGGAATGAGTATGGGAGTTTTATGCCCTATTTTGGACTCAGTCCAAATCTCAGTCTCAGGGATTAGTGTCTGTCTTGTCTGTAAAGACAATACGTATTTCACTAAAAACAAACAAAAAACAAAAACCACAACGTGAAATCTTAATGATATTAAAATATTTAAGAAAAGAGACTCTCACTTGAAATACACTGTGAATCTTGCCTACTTGTTGCCTTTTAAAAAAACATTAGAACTTTAATAAATATATTCACTAATTAATAAAAACGTTCACAATAAAAACACATTCTATCCATTCACCTGATAACAAACATACACATATTCTACTATAGTTGGAAGCAAGTCAGAGTTTAAACATTATTCTTCCAGTTACTTCTGAAATGTATTAGTTTTATAGCAACATCGTCCCTTTTTAGTGAAAGTAAACCAAAATAGGTAATTTATATAAATTATATTTATAAAATATTGGTATATTTTCATGAATATAGGCTTTTCTCATTTTTTTTGCTTAATAGAAAGTATAGTGTTTCAAAATGAAAGTAAAACACATAGCCCAAACCAAAACAAAAACATATGCAAAAACATTTTATTTATAACAGATCAACATTTTTGACATGAAAGGTAGCCACTTTCAATTTCTCAGGAATGCCTAGAACCCAACAGTTTTCAGAAAGACTACTTGGTTCACAATTATTTCACTGTAGGTAAATGAAATAATTTCAGAATGAACTTTTTAAATGGCTTTGCCTATGGCAAATTGTTTTATAAACTTGAATGTATGGTAAGCTAACTTTCCCAGGAAATGAATGTAATCCAACTATGTTCCAAATGTATTAAACCAGTTTATACAACAAATATGAGAATCACCTATATGCATCAACTGTGCTAAAACAAGAATTCTTTTTATCAAAATATTCATTTTTCAAAAAGGCCTCACATTAACCCCTCAAACCAATCACCCCCTTCCTATGTCCAGCACTCTTTTCTACTTCAAGTTGCGTGACTGTATAGACAACTGTCGAATTCCAGTGGAACTGTACACCGACTTAAGACTCTATGTAATATACATCAAACACAGGAAGTCACTGACTTTAAGGGACAAGGTGATAATTAACTAGTTATAATTTAGCCAATGTCTTTTTTTATTTTAGAGGGAAAAAAAGTAGCCCCCAAGTGTCCTTAACTTTTCAGTACTTCTCTGTAACACACAGGATGAAAAGGTACTCTCTAAAATTAAAATCATTAGAAAATATCTTAAATAAAATGTTTTACATAAATAAGTGTTAAATTTCAGATTCAAACTATATTTTCTTCTGTATCTCAATTTGGGAAAAATCTCACAATTATTAACTCTTCTCAGTTACATTTATTTTTGAGCATTTAAATCTATTACACACCAGTTTGTAAAATTCACCTTGGTTACCTCTCCCCATGCCTATGTGCTGTCTTTCCTCAGGTAAGTCCATTATATGCATCTAAGTGCTGGGGAGGTTTAAATAGCACTTAAAAAATATTCATGAGAGTTCTGAAATGAAGGTTTCATCTTTAGCTATTTACTGTAGGATTTGTAATTCAAATCATCACAGCATCCTAAAGAAATACTGTGTGAATGGAATGCACACAATTCCTACAGAACACACAAACTGATGTCCAAAAGGCACAGAGTAATGCTGGTGGCTCTTTCTAGTCAGTTAAGAAACAATAAAAAGTCTGCATTATTCTTTCATAATTTAAATACTTAAGTAATCTCCACTTTATTATTTTATAACAATGACTTCAAATTTACATTATTTTAAGTACCATTGTAATAGCTTAGTGTATAATACAGATATTTGCGAATATCCCATCCAAAAATTAAAAAAAACTTCTTCACTATATATATATTTATATAAAAATTATTCTGAAAGACAAGAACATAGACAAGGGACTTGGTACAGACCATCAACTCAATTTTCTATCACCACAGTTGTAACTCCAAAATCAACAAATATACAGCAGTAATTAAAAGCAGTGCAAATATCTTTGGAGGTTAGGATAAAATTATAATGCAAGAACATAAAACTGAGGAAATAAAAAAGGCAAGTACTTCAAGTACAAGGAACCAGTCGGCTTGAGGTCCATCTTAGTGTTTACTGGGGGCTTCCTTCCTGCTTCTACTTCTTTCTCTGAAACACATTGGCCAACATGGCACCTGATGTTGTCAACTGGCCCATTTTGTTCAAAAACTTGGTCTTTGTATCTTCACTCACTAAGCTTGCAGCAATTGACATTGAGCTAGGAAAGAAAATTTAAAATTCATGTAAAACAACATAAAAAAATAACAATTTTTCATTTCTTTAACAGCATATCATTAACAAACACACTCTGAATTGGCGTCACAAAAGGGAAACTAATATTTATGGAGGGTAGTTTGTATACGCCATCCTAGGTTAGCAGCTTTCACGTTTGTTATCTATAGTAGAGGAAGCAGTACGTGTAGTGGTTAGGAACAAGTCTGGGACTGGACTGAATCTTGGCTCTGTTTACCAGCTTGGGTAAATTATTTAATCTTATCTGTAAAACGAGGAGGATTCTAGTATCTGCCTCCTAGGGTTATTATGATTATATTAATACAACTGTAAAGTGCTCAGTATAGTGCTAGGCACATAATAGCATGATATAATAACTATTCTTTATCACTTCATTTAATTCTTACAGCAATCCTGGAAGATAAATATTATCAGTATTTTCACAAATGAGTAAATTAAATTGCAATGAGGTTTTGTGCTGTGCTGATGATAATCCTGTGGTATATTCCTTTTTGGGGGGATATTTCTTTTTTGGGGGGGTGTCCTGAATTACCAGTTGCATTGATTTCAATCAACAGTTTCAAATCCATTTCTTCTTTTTCACCAACCTACTGTGTAGGGAATAAACACAATCTAAATGACCACTAAAGATTGTTAATTTATCATAGTACTGAACAGAAACAGAATAATGATCAAGCACAATTTTTCAATGATCTGACAACTGTCCTGTAATAGACTTGGAATCCAGTTTATTGCCTTGTGGCTTTGGCCAAGATGGTTTAGATCTCTCTGACTCAGTTTCCTCATCTGTAAAACACAGCTTGTGATTTCTGTTGTAAAGAATTCTGAGGATTAAGTAAGATAATGTGTTTGAACATGTCAAAGACAATATGTGGCAAGCTGAAGGTGCTCAACATGTCTGTTGAATCTACTGCATGAGGTGTGTCCTGCCACGGAGGGCACCTGGGTCTATGTAGTCTATAAGGGTGTGCACTGTGAATTACTCAAGTTAAAAACCAAACCACAACTCCCACCTTGAAAATATTCTTCACATTGCTCTTCTGACAGTACACCAATGTACTTCCTGCTGCTTCTCTTCCCACAAAGTAATCTTCCCTAAGGTTTGGTATTTGGCTCTTGATTCTTCAATTATAAAACTTACTCTCAAAGTTTCAAATTGAATTGCATCCCTTTTCCTGATGGTCAGTCCCACATTACTATTATTGGCTAGATAAAGCCAACATCTCAAGCTTTTGTTCACACCCTAACTTTAGAAATAACTCCCCATTTTAATTCCCCCCCACTTTTGCCAGTGGTTCTACTATTTTCCTCTGTTCTAACAGTGAATTTAATAGCTCCTTCTACTTCTATTTCAAACCAAACACAAGTCCTGTGACCTTATTCTTTTCAGCATCTCCTCTACTGTTTCTTTTTACTTCCATGGCTAATACTTTACAACTCAGTGAATTCCAACAGTCTTCTATCTTTAATAATCAGATTAACTTCTGTAAGTCACTTCTTGATATCACATCTTAGCTCAAAAATCTTTAATGCCTACATACCACCTACAAGATGGAATGTGCTTCGCATTCAAGAAATGTAGCAATCTATTTCTTGTTTTTCCATACCCCTGTCACTGACTATCTCTTTGACCCCCTGCAGTCCGGTTTGTCCAGCCTATTGTTCAATCACTCTCAAATCTTTCTATCCACTGCCTACCCATCTTTCAAAGCCCAGCTGAAGTCCTATGGTGCCTTTCCTTAACATTCTAGCTTTTCAGTGCTCTTCCTTTCTTTAGAGAACTCAGTGTAAGTCAAAAGATAAGTATGATTTAAATTTACATCTAGAAAAAGGGGATGTATGGTCAGACCATAGTTGAGATATCAAGTTTTAATGATATTCTAAGAGGAGGCCAACCATGATGTTAAGGAGTCTGGAAACTTTAAGAGGTAAAAATGAAAGGAATGAAGAATATTTGGTCTGGAGAAGATTTAGGTGACTTAACTGATATGTGCGTATATCATACGTGAAAAATTGGATATAAATGTATATCTGCAGGGGTGTATATATCTACATAGGTCTACTGATACACATCACAGTCACCTGGAAAACTTTTGAAAATGCAGATGCCTAGGCCTAATCCAGTACTTCTGATTCTTTCCATCTGAGGTAGGAGGCCCAGGTCTATATTACAAAGCTTTTCAGTTAAAAAAAAAAAAAAAAAAAAAAAAAAATCATTGCATTACAGCAATTCCGCCCCCACCCCAAGACAGAGTGTAAATTTTTATCAGTTTTATAAAGGGGTTTGTAACACTCTCCCACCCTCCTACCAGATGATAAAGACTTGTTTTAGAGGGCATAGGAATTTTGGAAAGGGAGATTTTAATCCAGGAAAAGATACATTTTAAAAAAGAGTTATTAAAATGAAATGGGATGCCTTGTAATGTGTATCTTCACTGCAAGTTTTCAAGCAAATCTCAGATCTTTTCTTTGCAACTAATATCCCTATCTTCTTTAAAACTATTTATGGCCTATATTATTTCTCTCTTTTCTTCTCTTTAAAATCTCCACTTGGGCCAGGCTCGGCGGCTCACACCTGTAATTCCAGCACTTTGGGAGGTCAAGACGGGTAGATCACCTGAGGTCAGGAGTTTGAGACCAGACTGGCCAACATGGTGAAACCCCCTCTCTAGTAAAATACAATAATTAGCCAGGCATGATGGTGCACGCCTGTAATCCCAGCTACTCGGAAGGCTGAGGCAAGAGAACTGCTTGAACCTGGGAGGCGGAGGTTGCAGTGAGCCCAGATGGTGCCACTGCACTCCAGCCTGGGAGACACAGTGAGACTCTATGTTGAAAAAAACAAAAAAACAAAACAACCCCCCCACAAAACAAAAACAGAAATAAAATCTCCACTTGATTTCTAACACCATTCTGGTTTGCCTTCTATATCTCAGTTAAGTTCTTCCATATGCATCCGAAATGTTGGTCTCTAATTCCATGACTGTTCACCTTCTCCCCATCAGAACCCCCTTTTCAAATGATATCATTTATCTACCACTGCTCCAACTGTAAGCCTTTAATTACCACCCATGTGCTGCTAATGGTTCTTAGATCTCAGTGAACTGCCTGTAAAACATTCTACCTGTGCCTCAGATTTTAAATATTCCTCTTCAGAATAGTTCTTCCTATAGTTCCATTTTGTTGTATTTTATCATCATCCGTTTAAATGTTCAGATCAGAAATGTAGGAATATTTTGATTCTGTTCTCCTTCACTCTTAATCAGCTGCCAAGTTAAACTGAGTTCCCATCTGAAATATGGGTCTCAAATCCATCTTCTCATATTCACTGCCATACACTGGCATTATAACATGGTGGTTAAAATTGCAGTCTCAAGGACAGCAATGCCTGGGTTCTGGTTCCTCCACTTAGTAGCTAGGTGGCCTCTGAGCAACTTATCTACCTCTCTGCCATCTGTAAAATGAGAATAGTAAAAGTATCTACTTTGTAGGGTTAGTATGACTATTATTAGCAAATATATGAAAAATGCTTAGAATGGTATCTGGTTCATAAGCATTACTTATTGTTACCTTCCCATCCAAGGCCACACTTCATCTCATCATGGGTTCCTATAACAGCTTTCTAATCTGTTCCACCCACTTCTCTATTCCCTAGAGTCTGGTTCCTAAAGCAGTGATTCTCAAGGTGTGGTTCCAAGACCTGCAGCATTAGCACCACCTGGGAACTTGTTATCAATATAAATTCTCAGACTCCACTCAGATCTTCTGAATCAAAAACTCTGGGGATGGTACCCAGCAATTTCCAGTTGATTCTGATGGACACTGAGTTGATAACCAAAGGTCCTAAGTGTTGGCTACAGGTAGCAGGCCAAATCCAGCCTGCTGTTTTTATAAATAAAGTTTTACTGAAACCCAGCCATGCACATTTATTTACATATTGCCAAAGGCTGCTTTCCTGCTACAATAGCAGAGTCCAGCTCAGTAGCTGTGAGAGAGATTGTATGGTCTCCAAAGTTTAAAATAGTATTTACTATCTCTACAAAAAATTTGCCACCACCTGACCTATAACACAAAGTCCAAATCTCCCAGTGTAGCACACAGAATTCTTTACTGTTTGGTGCCTCCTACCTTTATATACTTATCTCTACCATTCTCCCACATATACTCAGTGCTCTAGCTTTTTTTTTGAGACGGAATCTCGCGCTGTTGCCCCGGCTGGAGTGCAGTGGCCGGATCTCAGCTCACTGCAAGCTCCGCCTCCCGGGTTTACGCCATTCTCCTGCCTCAGCCTCCCGAGTAGCTGGGATTACAGGCGCCCGCCAACTCACCCGGCTAGTTTTTTGTATTTTTTTAGCAGAGACGGGGTTTCACCGTGTTTGCCAGGATGGTCTCGATCTCCTGACCTCGTGATCCACCCGTCTCGGCCTCCCAAAGTGCTGGGATTACAGGCTTGAGCCACCGCGCCCGGCCGCGCTCTAGCTTTACTTACAGTTCCCAAACAGGCTTTTCTGTAACTTTGGTCATTTTGCACAGCGCTGATTTTTCCTCATGTAATCCTCTTTTGCTCTTTCTTTTTTCCTCCCTAGTCAGTCATTCATATCTGAAGACTTCTGTATTCCTTTTTCCGTGGAACCATTTGCAGGCATTGTTTTAGTGCTTATCTTTATTTTTAACTGCTTCTTTTTCCCACTGTCAGCTGTGAATACCCCGAGGGAAGAGATTATGACTTGGTGAAGCTCATCTTTGTGAACAGCCCATGGTAAGCGCTCTGAATTTACTTACTGCTGAATGAATATGAGAAGGGTACCAAAATAGTTATGCATACATTTTCTGCCTGCAGATCAGTGCTTTTCAAACTTTTCTGACACAGATCCATAGTAAGTGCCACATTTTATGTGATGACTTGTAGTACTTACACAGGTAACTGATGTTTCATAAGAAAGACTCACCCTTACCACTTGGGATGTACTCTCTATTTGATTCTATTTCTTGGGATGAAATACCTATCACAACCAATTGAATTAATTAAGCAATGTACTAATGTCATGATCTGCAGGTTGAAAAATACTGCTTTTAACCACAGGCTCTTTGGAGGTGAAATCCATGTATGCATCATCTTTGTATTCCCCACAGCAAAAGGCAGCGCTCTTCACGGATACAGATATCTTTATCTGCACTCACTCTCGCTTTTCCTTCCATCTGAGAAGCAATTCCTTTTAGTGCTTCAAGTAAAAGGCTTTCCTCTTGTGCTTTTGATCTATGATAGACTTCAGAGGAAGGGTGGGGCCAAGGAAGGCTTCCCTGAAGAGGCAACATCTAAGCTCTTTCCTGAAGGATGAATAGGAACTAGCCAGGCAGAGTAAGAATACTCCTGGCAGACGGAATCATATGTGTAAAAACCTGAGGAGAACAGAAGCTTGCCCTGAATCTGATTAAGTCTCTAGATCTAGACCCAGCTATCAAATATACAAGAAATAGAGAAGAACATGTTAAAAGACAGAAGATAAATGCAATCAGCAAAATTCAGAGTGTGGGAAACTTTATAGGACAAATGACTCAGTGTCTTCAATAAGTAAATTGTATGGAGAAAAAAGGAATAGAAAGGTAAGATTCTGTCTATGGATTGAAGGAGACTTAACATAGCAACCAACTGCAATGTACAGAACTCATTTGGATCCTGACTCAAAGAAACACACTGTAAGGAAAGACAAACAACAAATCACTGACATTTATAAAACAAGGAGAAATTTGAACAAAGGCGGATAGTTGATGATATTAAGTTGTTATTGTTATGTTGGTGTGATAATGATATTGTGTTTATGTTTTTTAAAATAATACTTATGTTTAAAAGACACATACCAGAGAATGGGAGGGAGAAGTAGGTGGGGTATGGAAGAAACTGAAGCTGGGTTACAGTTATAATATGTATAGAAATTCATTATATTTTCAGTTTATTTTTGTGTTTGTTAGAAAAACTTGTAAAAAACCTCTATAAAAACCCGCCAATAATATAGAAGATGTGAATGTGTCTATTGTTTTAATCCTCTGGAGCTAAAATGGTTATATATGGAGAAGACTGCTTCCATTCTAAGAGTCTTTATAAAGTAAGGGTTCTAACACATCAAAGACGTATGTGTGTTGCGCATGGGGAATAGGGAGGAGCGCATGCGCGAGTGTGTGTGTGTGTTTCTAGACCCATAGGATGAAACACTTATTCCCGGTAGTTAGCCTTAAAGAAAATACTTTTCAGCTTTTTATGTCTAACAGAGTCTACTTAAGATGCTCAAGGTTACCTCAGTAAGAGTACATACAGTCCATTTGTAAATAACTCCCACTCCTGAAACTCCAATGTTATACTCTTTCACACCTATGCTTATATTTTAATTTTACTGAATCCTTGGATTCCAATTAGTTTGATTAGAAGCATGTGACTAGAACATTCCCAAGCTTATAATCCTTTATGCAGTATGTTGTTTATCTTACAACTCCTGTCACAAGTTTCTAGACATTATTTTGACCAGTGAGTGAACAACCCAGCTACATATCAGAATTTTGTTGGAAGCTTTTAAATGTCCCTAGGCTGACTGAGAATATTGAGAGAAGGCACAGGGCATGGGATGGAGACCTGAATTTTAAATTCCCCAGATAATTCTGATGAGATGGTTTATGGACCAGGATTTGAGAACCAGTGACTTAAATCATTTTCTTGTCTTCCAAACGAATGACTATAACATAACACAAAATGACACATTATACTGATTGATAGCAAATTTAGATAGAAAAATTAAGGTTAACATGTAGCCTTAAAAAAAGAATTAATGTCTTACCCTTGAGGCTCTTGGACGGTCTTGTTTTCAACTTTTTGTTCACATTCTTTTATCATGGAACTTAAAATAACCTGATTAAAAAAATTGACTTTAGTGAAATACAGTTTACATAGTAAAATACTATGGTTTAATCTAATGCTTTAATTTTTAATATTCCCATAAGCTAATATGTTAATTAAAAATTTAGTTTTGGCAGTCACTTTGTTAAAGGAATTCATATTAGATTGCTAGACTAGGTACAGAAGTAGCTTTAAAAAATCTCAATCATGTAACAATAATTTATTTTGATTTTCACTAGTCTTCTTTCTAAATGTTTTCTATTCTCCCTTAGCTTACCCACCATCTTCTAATGTTAAAAGTAAAATTTATATACATCTATATATTTAACATACACACACACTACGGTCACACACATATTTTCCCAGTAAAAGCTGTCCTGTTCTACACCCCTTTGCTTTCTCCAGGTTGCAAAAAGCAAGATCCCTTATTTTAATGCCTAGAGCTGAGACTAGGTACAGCTCCATGGCTACTAAAATATAATGAGGGATATGCTGGGTGTGTAAAAGTTAACACCATTCCTGCAGGGAAACTGAGTGAGTGATAGAAAGGTTAGAGAGATCTAAACTGCTGCTCTGATATCTGGCAACCACACCAGAAAATGAATGGCTCTTCTGAATATTCTTGGCCCATGTTTGGGCACGGAGGTCACTAAAAAAATATTTATTGTCTACCTACTACGGACTAGGCACCTTTTTAGACAGGGGGGATAGAGCAAATAAAACAGACAATATTCCCTACTCGTGGAGCTTATGTTCTAGTAAGAGAGATAGATATACAAAAAGCAGGTAAATTATGTAGTATATTAGAAAGTGATATGGGTTTTAAAAAAAATATTGAGTAAGATAAGGGGTATTAGGAAGGCCAAAGCAGAGAATGGTACAATTCTCATGGAAGTGTTCAGGGTAGGCTTCAAGGAGATGTTAATGTTTAAGTAAAAACATGAAGGAGATGGAGGAATAAGTGCTGCAGACACTAGGAAGAGGCTGCTCAAAGGCTGTGAGGTGGGAGAAGACCTGCCATATCCTAAGGAAAGAGGCCAGAGTTGGTGCAGGGTGAGCAAGGGAGAGAGGATAGAAGATGAAGTCTTAGATGTACTAGAAGAGAGGGCTGGATCCTATAGTGCCTTGAGATTATGATAAGGACTTTGGGGATTATTCTGAGAGAATGAAACTTTTATCATGCATCATGTGGGAAATTCTAGATTACCCTTTTTTGAATGTATTCTCTGCTTCCCCACTCTCTTGTCTCACAGGTTATAGCATTTGTTTGTTTGGCTAGTTTTTTGCTTTTTGGTTTTTAAGGGGAAATTTTTGTATTTTTCTTTATCCTCCTCGCATTGTCTGTTTCCTCCAGTACCCTCCTTCTTTCTTCTATATTTTCATCTCTATCTTTGGTATTCTAGGCTTTTCTAAATGATTGGTAATCTTGGGATGTCTACTAATGACTGGCGCACCAAAACGTGGATTAGTATCTCTTTATGCATGTGTAAACTTCACTTTAAGTTAAATCGGGCACCAACCTAACTTTCTGTTGATTTGTTTTCCCCTGTAGGCATAAACCTAACAGCCAGAATTTGAAGGGTAATGAGGTGTCCCATCATTAACTAGCTGTCACTTATTTTCCCGCTTTTCAGTATGGTTTTCAGCTATGCCCGATATCTCAAGCCTACAGAGCAAAGCTCCAGTCTCCTTTCAAGGTTGGCAAGGGAATCTGGGAATCTGATCCTTTTAAAGTCTTTAAATTATTCCTCTTATTCAGTCCCACCATACCCTAATGGAGGTAGGGCAATTTGTGGTGAAACAGGCTTGCTTCTTATTTGTTCTGTCCTATAGACTTAGATTTAGCATTTATCTTGGAAGCAAGGATCCTCAACAAAATACTAGCAAACTTAATCCAGCTAATATAAAAAGAACTATACAACATAACCAAGTGGGATTTATCCCAGGAATGCAAGGTTGGTTTAGTACTCTGAGATAAATTAATGTAACACACTGTATCAATAGAAGAAAAAACAACCTCATGATCATCTCAATTGATGCAGAAAAAAATACTTGATAATATCTAACATCCCTTCATTATAAAAACATTCAAAAACTAGGAATAGAAGGAAACTTCCCCAACCTGATAAAGGGCATCTAAGAAACATACAAAGCAAAACTGAAAAGAACTAAAAGGGGAAGTAGACAATTCCCAATTATAACTTTTTTTTTGAGACGGAGTTCGCTCTTGTTGCCCAGGCTGGAGTGCAATGGCGCGATCATGGCTCACTGCAACTTCTGCCTCCTGGGTTCAAACGATTCTTCTGCCTCAGCCTCCCAAGTAGCTGGAATGACAGGCATGCACCACCATGCTAATTTTGTATTTTTAGTAGAGATGGGGTTTCTCTATGTTGATCAGACTGGTCGTGAACTCGTGACCTCAGGTGATCTGCCTGCCTCGGCCTCCCAAAGTGCTGGGATTACAGGCATGGGCCACCACGCCTGGCTGTCAGTCTTAACTTTTAACATGTCTTTCAACAGCTGATGAAACAAGCAGGTCACAAAAAAACTGATACGAAGATAGAATTGAACCATAAAATTAACTAACCTTATTTTATTGAAATATATAAAACAGTATACCTAATAAAGACAGAATGTATATTCTTTTCAAATGCCACACTGATCATATTCTGGGTCATTAGGATAACTTTAACAAATTTCAAAGGACTGAAATCACACTGTTTTCTGACTGTAGTTAAGTTAGAAATCAGTAACAAAAATATCACTAGATAATTCCCATTGCCCCCCAATTAAACAAACCCCATGGGTCAGTAATGAAATACTGGAAATAAAACTGTAATTTGAACTAAATGATAATAAAGATAAAATATAGCAAATGCAAGGGATACAGCTAAAACAATACTTAAAACCTTAAATTCATAGCCAAGCATGGTGGTTCAAGCCTGTAATCCCAGCACTGTGGGAGGCTAAGGTGGGTGGATCGCTTGAACCCAGGAGTTTGAGACCAGCCTGGACAGCATGGCAAAACCCTGTCTCTACTAAAAATACAAAAAATTAGCTGGGCATGGTGGTGCATTCCTGTAGTCCCAGCTACTCGGGAGGCTGAGGTGGGGGGATCACTGGGAGGTAGAGGTTGCAGTGAGCCAAGACAGCACCCTGCACTCCAGCAAGGGGTGACAGTGAGACCCTGTCTCAAAAAAACAAACAAAAAACCAAAATCCTTAAATTAATATATCAGAAAAGAAGAAAAGTTTAAAAATAACCTAAACTTCCTCCTCAAGAAGTTAGAAAAATAGAAAAACAAACCTAAACAAAATAAAAGGAAATAAAGATGAAAACAGATACAAGTAAAATAGAAAAAAAGCAGTAGGAAAAATCAACACAGCTAAAAGTGCAATATTTGAGATTAATGAAACTGATAAATCCCTATTCAAAACTAACTTTAAAATAAATAAAGAAAAACAAAACAAAACAAAAAAACCAGGCTGGGGATGGTGGCTCATGCCTGTAGTCCCAGCGTGTTGAAAGGAGATCTAAATAAATATAAGATATAGCATGTTCTATATAGCAAGACTCAATCATAGAGAAGACTCCCCAAATTAATTTACAGAGTCAATTCAATTTCAATCAGAATCTACATAAGATCCTTCTTGGAACCTGTCAATATAATACTAAACTTTACACGAGGAAGGTAAGGGTCATGAACAGTCAAAACATTTCTAAAAAAGGACAAGATGCTGGACTTGTCCTACTGGAATTCTGGACTTTTAAACAAGACAAATGTAATGAAGACAGCATATCGCTTTTATAATAATTGACAAAGAAACCAGTGAGAAAGAATGTTCCCCAATAACAGGCACGTACATACATTGGAACTTCATATATGACAGAGGCAGCATTGCCAATCAGTGCAAAAAGGATGAACTGTTCAATAAATAATACTGAAATAACAGATTGTCCACATAGGAAAAAAAATATAATTGGAATGCTAGCTCACATCACACATAAAAACCAATTCTAGTAAAATTAATGATTTTATTATATAAAGTCAATTTAAAAAAATTTCAGAAGTATAGGAAATAATGTCTTTTAGAAATGATCAATAAATCTGACTATTAAAAAATTAAGAATCAGTGTTCGAAGATGCCAAAGACATGAAAAGACATATAAATTGGAAACAGATATTCATAAAACATAAAATTGACCAAGTATTGGTATATTCCAGATACATAATGAACTTCTAAAAAATAATGGTTAAAAAGACAGCCTAAATGAAAAATAGGCAAAAAACCTAAATAGACTTTAATAGAAGAACACAACTCATCAATAAGCATACCAAAGAATGCCCAAACTTGACAGTAATTAGAGAAATGCAAATCAGAAACATAATGGTAATTTTATATCCACCAAATTAGAAAGTTTAACAATCCCAAGTGTTGGCAAACATGAGAACTAAGAGGGTACTCCCATACACTGCCTATAGGGGTATAAATTGTTAGCATTTCGGAAAACAATTTAGCATTAGCAGGCAAAACTGAAAATGTGTACACTGTACAACTTGTTGATTCTATTCCTAGTTTGTATCTCACAGACAAACTTTTGCACATGTGCATCGTAAGATGCTTGTAATTCTGTTTATAATAACAAAATACTGAAAATATCACCTATTTTCCTAGAAAGAAGAATGGATAAACTATGGCATAATCATACAAAGGAATACTATTCAGTAAGGACAATAAGATAACTACTTTTGTAAATATCAATAAGAGTGAAACTTATAAACAAAATGAGTGAAAAAAGCAAATCATATAAGAATACATACAGGAGATTCCATATATACAGGATAGGAGAAATATGCAAAATTAAATACTATGTTGTTTAGGGATAAATAAATATGTGGTAAAACAATAAGAAAAAGTATGATAAATATAAAATTCTGGGCAAGTGCTAAACTTGGAGGAGCACAGGAGAGGGACATGATTACGGAGGGGCATATATGGAACTTTTAAGATACTGGTAATTTTCTATTAAGCTAGGTAGTAATTACATGGGTGTTAGTTTAATTATTATTATTTTAAAAATTTTTCCTTTTTTTTCCCTCATCAACTTTGTGACAGTATAATTGTTTTTTAAACAAGACTGATAGTTAGTCATAGTCTTCTGTGTCAACTTGGCTAGGATATAATACTCAGTTATTTAATCAAACAGTGACCCAGGCATTGCTATGAAAGTATTTTGTAGATGTGCTGAACATCTACAATAAATTAATTTTAAGTAAAGGAGATTATTGCCCTAAAAAATATGGGTAGGCCTCATCCAAGCAGTTGAAGGCTTTATGAGCAAAAAGTGAGGTTTCCTGAAGAAGGAATCTGCCTCAAATACTGCTTATCAGCCTGCCCTCCATATTTTGGACTGAAGCCTGTAACATCAATTCCTGCCTGAGTGTTCTGCCTTATGGTCTCTCCTACATATTTTGGACTTGCCAGCCCCCTCAACTGCATAAGCCAATTCCTTAAAATAAATCTCTTAATATATCATTTTGGTTTTGCTTCTCTGGAGAACCTTGACTAATACAAACACATATGTAATATAGCCTTTGAATGTACATCCTACACTTTACATTATGCAATGGTATTCTTCTGACAGAAGGAAGAGAACAGGCAAAGGCATGGAAGCAAAAGACAATGTATGTGGTGGAGATGAATTAGTTTGGCATGGCTGGGGCAGAGTGTGTGATGGAGGAGAAACGGAGAGGGATGAAACTATCAAGATGAACAGGTGTCAGATGATAAAAGGCCTTGTATGTAAGAAACTTGTAAAAGGTTTTTAATAGGAGAATAAGATGAAGAGATTTATACTTTAGAAAAAGTACTTTGGCTGTAGTGAGAAACAATAGTAGAGAGCTAAGATTGGAGAAAAATTAGGATATTCTACAATGGTTCAATGAGGTAACAATAAAGGATTCAACTAACAGGGTGGCACAGGTATAAAGAAAGGGAAGAGATTAGAAAGACATTATGAAATTAAAGAACTAATTGGACATATTCCATGTTAACTATCAGGTATATGATTTGGGGAGAAAGCCGTGTGGCATTAGCCAAAGTGGGAGACGGAGAGTAATTCTGGTTGAGGGGATTGGCCATGCTGAATTTTACAAGATGCCTGTAGGACATGCAGGTGAAATAGACAGGTAGCAGTGAGCCAGGAAGTTCTATGGCTCCAGCATGGGGTTAGAGCAGAAGATGAAATTTGTCTGATAGTAACATGTAGTAGAGGCAAGTTAGATGATGAGTATGGATGAACTTGTTCATGGAGAGTAATTCTAATGAATGAAAAGGTGAGGTAAGAAAGGAGAGGAGATTGGGAAGAACTGACTAGAGAAGTAAAAAAAAAACAGGAATAGAATGGAGTCCCAGGAGCCACAGGAGTTTTGAATCAGAAAATGCTGCAGAGAGACCTGAAGTTATAACAACAAAAAGAAAGTCCTGTCAGGGTGGCAGCTTGGTCACGAGTGATCTTAAAGATGGCAGTTTCAATGGATTAGTGTGATGCAGGGAATATGATGTACCAATAGACACTGTAAAAGTTGAGAGAGTAAATGTGGATGATCAGGAAGAATACGAGACTTGGAGAGGGATGAAAGGAAGTTTTTGCTATTTAGGAGTTCAGAGTCAAACATCATAAAAGGAAAAGCTGATGGAAAAATAGGTTGAAGATACAGAATAGAAAATAAATGATAAACAGGGATTTGGAGGAAACCAGGGGAAACAGGAGACAAATAGAATGAAATAAAATAGTTATGAGGAAATGAAGACAGAAAATAGAAACTGCATCTAAGAAAGTTGATGGTCAGAGATAACCAACATTTTATAGTTAAAAATTTTCACATACATTATCTTATTAAAGTCTCATATTAAGTGAAGGAGAGTGTATTATCCCTACTTTAGACAATTAAAGAGAGGCTCAAAGATGTGAAAGGAGTTGTTGAAGATATCACAGCTAGTAAATAAGTTGATAAAATGACATTGAGCTAGATTAAAAAAAATTAAGTATAGCATATGATAAGCCTCACATAGAGAAGAATGCAAGTCTGTATATGAGGTATTAAAATATGAATATGGCACTGCTAATCACAGTGGCTCACCTCATGCTCTGGAGAGAGATGTTCCATGTCCGTCCGTAAACATCTGAGACCAGGTAAAAAGTGATTAACCATTAAATCCTCTGAAATGACTTGGGACAAGGGAGTTAAGGGAATTAAACGAAACCAAACTGGTATGTCCAACAGAACAACCAAGTTAGTACCATATAAAAGAGAAGCCTTCTTAGATGATGCCTATTGCATGGTGATCACTGAGGGTAAACAGGCTCCCCTCAAGCATGAATCCTCACGTGCAGAGTAAGTTATTTATCAGGAGTCAATTGTGTTTATTCACACAAATCTATTTATGTCAGTGGTATTCATCATTTAAATTACAGAATGTCATGGAAATGTATAAAATGAGCATAACAATTAAATCATGTAACCCAATCAGATGTTTCAATGAATATAAAAAAAGTATAAAAAGTAAGTTTTCCGGCCGGGCGTGGTGGCTCATGCCTGTAATCCCAGAACTTTGGGAGGCTGAGGCGGGTGGATCACGAGGTCAGGAGATCAAGACCATCCTGGCTAACACGGTGAAACTCCATCTCTACCGAAAATACAAAAAATTAGCCGGGCGTGGTGGTGGGCGCCTGTAGTCCCAGCTACTCGGGAGGCTGAGGCAGGAGAATGGTGTGAACCCGGGAGTTTGCAGTGAGCCGAGATCATGCCACTGCACTCCAGCCTGGCGACAGAGCGAGACTCTGTCTCAAGAAAACAAAACAAAACAAAACAAACCAAAAAAACAAAAAGTAAATTTTCCATGACAACTAAGTTGAAAGTTTTGGGAAAAACTGATAAATGCAAATTGCTTAAAACATTGCTGTTTAACTATTAGGTATAAGACAATTGTAAAAGATTGAGAAAAATATAAAAATCTAGAAAAACTCTATAGTGCATAACAGGATATTATATTTCTGGATCCTCTTTAAAGAACTTTAACCTGAAAATCATAGACAATTGCATTACAGATATGATTTACCTCAGAAAGAAGGTAAATCAGAAAGAAGATGTTTAACTATAATTCACAAAAAAGAGATGACTACATCAAAAGACTGGTAAAAGAAAATAACATATATACATTTTAAGTTAAAGTAAGTTAAGGTAGATACCATTTTCCTGATTTCTTGCTTTAGCCATCCTGTTAAACTGACCTACTATGGGTCCTGATTGAGTTGGGTAACAGAGCTTTTGTGGTAATAAGAGCATTTGTTAAGTTTAGGATTACTTGTAGTTCTTAGTCATCTTTGAGTTTTAGTTGATTATCTTGACATTAAAAGGTATCAGGAAAGCAGATGCATTTCTCCAGAAAACAATTCGTCTTGTTCATTCACGTCAATTCTGATACATTCTCCCTTTATTCTAGTTGTTAGCCTGTAAAACTAGCTCCTATTTAATATCACACCACAAAAATGCCAGTAAATGAGTTCTCTTATAAAGATAATTTATTATTATTATTTTTTGAGACAGAGTTTTTTGCTCTTGTCACCCAGGCTGGAGTGCAGTGGCATGATCTCAGCTCACTGCAACCTCCGCCTCCTGGATTCAAGCGATTCTCCTGCCTCAGCCTCCCGAGTAGCTGGGATTACAGGTGCGCGGCACCACACCCGGCTAATTTTTTGTAGTTTTAGTGGAGACCGGGTTTCACCATGATGGGCAGGCTGGTCTTGAACTCCTGACCTCAGATGATCTGCCCACCTTGGCCTCCCAAAGTGCTGGGATTACAGGCGCGAGCCACCAGGCCCGGCCATAAAGATGATTAAAATAGATGATTTAAATGAGTTCCCTTATAAAGATGACTTAGTTGAAAAAATGAATTTCACTGAGAAAAAAATCAGTGTAACTACTCCTTTGAAAATACAGTTATAAATAAAAATTGTTCACAAACAAGGCTCCTATAATGAGTGATTTATAAATTTAATAGGTATGAAAAATATAAACATCATCTGGTAAACCAAATCCCTATAGACATACAGAGGGCTGCAACCTAATTATTATGTAGTCTTGCTTTCAAGATACGGGGAAAGTGGCACCAAAATATAACTGAATGACCTTTGAATGAGTAGTTTAAGAGTCTGATCTGGAGAAACATGGGCATGGATTGAGAAGTTGAAGATGGCCCTACTTAGAGAGAAGAGGGAAGTCACTTTTCTTTTCCTCTTTCTACTCACTATTGGGGCCTACCTTTTCCCTATGGACCAATCTTTCTCAAGGATTCGAAACTTAAAGGTAATTAGTTCCATCAGATATTAGGAGTCACCTTTACCTCATTGGCGAATGATGGTTAGCCTCTGACTGCTAACAATGAAAGAAGATTCTTAGTTTATTAAGGAAGATCACTGCATTTTAGATAGCTCAATTAGGAAGTTTTTCTTAGAAACGAAATCAGCCTCTGTTATCTCTGCTTGTTAGTGTTAGCTCTGTACCTTAGTTGCACAGTGTGCCTAATCATCCTTCTACCTAAACACCTTTAAAATATCTTTTCATCCCCAAGCCATCTCTTCTCCAGGTTAAACATTCCTAAATTCCTTCAAACTTTCCTTAAACATGACTTCTTGACTTATTATCATGCCAAAATGTTACACACTATAGTTTTTCTAATGTCTGTATTAAAACATGATGGTAGGCTAAAAGGAACACTCTTCTGATCAGCTTAGAATATAATGGAGCAGAACAGATTAGAACAATGTGATTTTATTAGGGGCCACAACACTGTTGACTCAAGTACAAGTTCTGACTCATGTAGAACTAACACTTTTAGTACTTGAACAGGGCCTATTGTTAAGATGGTTCTTCACCTTACCGTATTGGTATGTAGACTTTTTACTGTATTTACTCTAGTGATATCCTATGCATATCTAAACACACAATAATTCCTTCTGTATAGATTTCTATGCTCTTTGGAAACCACTGCCTTCCTTATTTGGAAACTTTGGTTTTACAGAGCCAAACATTTGAATCTTTTGACTTTCCCATTTTCCTTGAGGCATATTCCTTTAGAAACTCTCTGCTACATAACGTTTTGTGTAAGTTTTAAATATTACTTTCACAAAGTCCAATTAAACATACCAATGTTTTCTTTCTTTGAGATACAAACTCTGCGATGCGCCACTGCTGCTTTCTTGCAAGGGTCCTATCACTTCTCCAATACTAAAGAATTCTTACTTGCTAATTCAGAATATCAGTTCCTCTTTTTGCTTCCTCTATCTTCCCTAAGTTGAAAATGCCAACAAGAAATCAAGAATGATAAGTTCTGCTTTTAGTGGAACTAAACTTATAGAAGATGTGAATAGTTGAGGTTACAAAATTATTATTAAAACATGGTGCCATCTGTATTATAAAAAACATGGCTCATATCTTCCTCATGATTAGGTCATTTGTAACAGATTTCCAACACAAACTGCTCTCAACCATGCATCCAACTTTCAGTTTTAGTATTTCCAAAGACATATAGCTACTTAACAGATAGCTCTACTTTTCTACTTTCTCTATTTGATTTATTCTGAACAAAAATAACCTCTTCTTGGTACATTCTAGTCAAGAATCCAGTGTCAATGACTGTCAGTAATATTTTATGGCATATTTATCTCATTTAAAATTACCTGTTCATGTTGCTTATTACATCAAACTGGTATATAACAATGTGAACCATATATAAAAATCCTGAAGCTCTTCCTTCGTTCTCTGGTTTTTGTTGAGCATGTACTTTGGTATTTAGCCTTTCACTCTTTTTTCAATCTCTCATTTCCCCTTTCTTCAACCCTTCTGCCTTTTAAATAAAAGAGCCTAAAAGTTGGGAGTTCACTTTGCCCATCGTTATCTTTACTTCCTTCTTAGTTTTATTTTATAGGCATATGATAGTAAAGAGAATATTTAACAGAATGGCTAAAGTTCTTTGTTCCAGTCACAGTTTTGCTTTTAACTATAAAAAACAGAAGCCACTCATGTCTTTAAGCCTTAGTTTAATCATTTACAGTCGCTGACATGGACCTACATGATCTCTAAGTTTTCTCCCAGTTCTGTAATCACTGGAGATCATTAGCTTTGTTGGCCCTGTACTTTTCCAATGTGTGATATCTCTCTAAGAGATATTCATAATATTCCACTGGATACTGAGAGTTAAACATTCACTGAAAAACCTAAATGCCAAGTCATATATACAAGGCTTCCTTTTGATTAACAGAAGTCTCAGCTGCAATTCTTTCTGCTCTTCATTTCTTGCTCGGTTATGTAGCTAATATAAATAAAAACTTCAGGTTAAGAACTTCATCAAAATTCTCAAAACTATAGAGCATAACAGCACAGAGGACTTAAAATTATCTTTTAAAATTATGAGATGGCTAGAAGATGGAGTGGAGTGAGACAAATCAAATCTTCAATTTTCTACAATTCTTATGTAAGTTGAAGAAAAGAAGTTCTACTTTTCAATCTTTAACAACCAAGTTCCACTCTAAGATGGTTATATAAATGTAGATACACTGTAATAAAGCAAGGATACAACAACAGGAAAGTGCACTGTAGGCTTCAAAAAGATGTGTAGCAATGTCCAGTCTTTTAGAATCCACAATCTGTAAGTTGTTCACCAAGGCTAACTTATGCAAATGTGGTATAACAACTAAAACAGAAAAAAGAAAGGGTTAAATTTTTATCCAAAACGTGCATACAAAACCCTGACACACTTTAACAATAATTTATCACTTTAATTTATGAAATTTCATTTTAATTCTGAATGACTTCAAAAGGTTACCCACATCTTATACTTGCTTTTTTTTAACTAGGGAAGAAAGTAGTTTTTCAAAACAAAAAGTGATCTGGCATTTGGGAGAAACAAATTGTAGCACTGTCACTATTACCTAATTATGAAGATGTATATAGATTATTTGGCCTCACTGTAATTCAGTTTCCCAGTTTGAAAAATGAAGCCCAAATAATTATAAGCAACCTACCTCTTGTATTATTTATACTTGCAGATAAGTTTCTTCATAAAAATATTACCATTGCTATTAAATAAATATAGAGTATATTCTTTTTCAACAACCTATTATTTCACCACTTCAGAATAATATTATTAGCTTTAGTCTCTCAAATTCTTAGCAAAGACCAATGTCAAATAGCACTTGACATTGGTGGCTGAGTTTTCAAGTTATTCAATGAGTTTAATACCCTCAAAGAGTAACATAAAATTTCAACCTACTGCTAAATAAAAGCAATCGTCCAAGAAACAAAAACCAAATCAGTAGCAATGAGCACCTCTAGAGCCTAAGATTGTATTTTCTGGATACCATTTCCCACTAAAACCAGGGCTCTTTGAAGAAATGGCTTCAGGGTCAGTGATTGTTAAATTGTTAATCAAAAGACCAATCACACAACCCCTTTCTAGTCTTGCTTGGTTGAGGATCACAAAACACCACTCATAAGCATCAACTGCTGACCAACTGTAGTGACCCCTTTCTTGTTTGCACTGAGTTTGCGTATATAAAAGTCATAATCTTCTCCTGGAAAAACTCCTGCTTCCTAAATAAGCTGGGGCAATAATCACAACTTTCATGCGTAGCTTAGTAAAACCCCACAAAAACTTAGAAAAACAATGATCATTTTTAGGGAACCTTTTGACTCGTCAAAATTAATAACAGTATATTTATGAGGAGCTCTAGAACAAATTAGGAGACAAAAACTCCAAACATTGAGTTGAAAGCTTCATTAATTGGCATGCTGAGACCTCAACAAAATAGTGACTCTAAGTCTCCCTCGAAGACTCACTAGTTCATTTCTGCCCAAACCTTCAGAAACTTATCATCTTGCACTTGATCTATTCATACATGGTTCCTTTATTCCATCTTCTCCCGAGTCTCTGACCTTTTTACAGTGTTTTTCTCAGAAACACAACAATCACACTGCATAATATCCCCTTAAAATTGCTTGACTAGAAGACAAATCTATAGAAGTTCATTTAAACTCTAGTCTCAAGGAAGTTAAAGGCTCTAATTAAGGATCTTCCTAATTCTCGGGAAGACAGACAGAACTTTACTATAGAATTCAGATTTCACTACACACATATTGTCCTGGGCTACCACATATGTATTAATTAATTCACTTAATTGTTAACCCCTCAGATATAGACAGACAGTTAAAAGCAGTAGGAGATGAAGGACCAGGAGATGATTTAATAATAACCCAGATGGATATCATTCTTTCTTTTTTATTAAGAGATGGGGTCTTGCTTTGTTGCCTGGGCTGGAGTGCAAGGACTATTCACAGGTGCAATCATAGTGTACCACACTCGAACACTTGGACTCAAATGATCTTCCTGCCTTGGCCTCCTGAGTAGATTGACTACAGATGTGTGCCATCATGCCTAGCTAATTTTTAAAAATCTTTTGTAGGGACTTGGTCTTGCTATGTTGCTCAGGCTGGTGTTGAACTCCTGGCCTCAAGTGATCCTCCCACCTCAGCTTCCTGAGTAGCTGGGACTATAGACACGTGATACCATGCCTGACTTAGACGGGCTAATTCTAAAACTGACCTTCAGTGGGAAAGAAAAAGAGGAAATACATAACATAAGGTCACTGCAGAAGCCTTTTTCTTTAGGGCAGATTGAACAAAGATTTAAAATTATAAATGAAAAAAGGATAATAGGAGATTTTATAAAACTGTATTTCACAAAAAATTAGCCGGATGTGGTGGTGCGTGCTTGTAATCCCAGCTACTTGGGAGGCTGACGTAGGAGAATCACTTGAACCAGGGAGGTGCAGGTTGCAGCGAGCTGAGATGGCGCCACTGCACTCCAGCCTGGATGATAGAGCGAGACTCTGCCTCAAAGACAACAAACAAACAAACAAAAACTGTATTTCAGAAAACGTTCGAAAAATATTCTGGGGTAGATCCAATAGTCATAAAGGGAATCTTGTCCTGTTTTTGTTTGTTTGAATAAATGGGCCCAGACCTCAAACAATAAACTTAGGGGAAAAAATCAGAAATGGAAAATTGCCACTTTAGAAAATCTCCAATGTACGACTGAACATTTTCAGAGGGCCTTACTAAGTAAAATAGCTGAAAACAAAAAACAACTCTATGGTGTTGCAGATAAAACAACTGGTTCTTAAAAATGAAAACAAGACCAAAGGTCCTGTGATAACTAATAATTGGGAAAGAACAATGGCCACTGAAAGAAGTAATGTCTGCTATTAACCAAGAAATAGAGGGGCAAATACCTAAATACCCAAAATGCCACTCCAAGGGAGACATTACTACCCAGAAATTCTCTGTCCATCCTCCAAACTCCCAAAGCCAATCATCTAGAAATACATACGAATAACACTACAGCATTCTTCATACAGGTTCTACTTCAATATTTATCTTATTAATATAGAGTACTAAATTCCTCAGAGTAAGTTCTAAAGCAAAAGAGTAGCCACTTGACTGAGAAGTAAGTACAAAAGTGGGAAAAAGGCTACTTTTTATCTTTTTAAAAAAAAATCTGGTTGTACCAAAATGTGAAAGAAGACTGTATAAGACATACTTGTGGGTACACAGTAAGTTGCAGGAGGCTTCAAGGATAATGGTTTACTAGAACTATTCAAGCAGTGGGAATTTCTCACCTCAATCTGTTCCTAAAATAACCTTTAATTGTTATTTTGGGGCCGTTACGAGAAGAAAATTCATTTTTTTCCTCTTGTACAACTCCTACAAATTTGATAGGTGGGTATGTACTCTACAATTAAAACTGTCAAATAAAATGGAAGGGTTATTTTTAGATGTTCTTGAAAATTCTAGAAAGAGACATTAAGATATTGACACTATGTTTAATTTGAGAAATAACTCTAGTCCCAGAATTACTGAAAAAAGATTCCAAAGAATCAACAAAATAACTGGAGCAGATCCTATAAGAATCCAGATGGATTCTTCCCAGATTATCATGAGTCTTTCTTTTGAATGTACATAGAAAGCTCAGATCACGCTCTAGAAAAGTTTTAGCAATACGACACGGCACACAGCAAGGACCCATTTAATGCAACAACATTGCATATACCAAAGACCCGTTTAACATGACAACATACCAAATACCCATTTAACTTGACAACATGGCACACACCAAAGACCCATTGTGTGTTGAGCTTATCCCTTAATCCAGGAGCCAAGAGTTATTCTCCTTGCCTCAGAGCAACTACAGCCTCAAAAAGTCAAAGCACCTTCAGAGTTCCTACCTAGAATCACCTGTAAATTTGACGCTGCAACATGTGGAACTATCCCTAGTGCTAACTAAAATATCAACTTTCTTCTGTTAGTTGGCTAATTATGAAGACACTTACCCAGTGAAAAAAATGTCATGACTGTGTTTCTATAGCATGATCAGTGTGCATGGCCTCAACCGAGTTTTTGGACACTGCAGTCCAAATCCTGACTTAGTATTTTTTGTTGATGACTCTTATTTTACAGAGTCATATGCTAGCCTGGATATATAACAGTCTGCCAGAGAATAAAATAATGTACTAGAAACCAAACTGATTTAAATGACCCAACTTGTGGCCCTCTCTAGAGCATGTCAAATTGCTAAAAATAAAAGCACTATGATAACTGATATACTTCTGCAGTCATAATTTCTTGATGCTTTGATGCTATCCAAAGAAATTGTGGCCATAAATGTTGAAGCCCACAATAAAAGAGACTCTGTAAAATCTAGAGAAAAAAGGCCGATAACTGTGGAAGATCATGTAGCAGATCAACAAGCTATGAATTAAAACAAAGTTATGTATCATGCTGAATGGCCTGCTAAGCGGGAGAAATGTCTATTTTTCATAAGAACATGTCCAGAAACACACAAAAATTCCCTTAAAAGTAAAAAAGTAAACTCTAAGGCAGCACAGTATTTAGCAATTAGCAGTTATTAAGAAATATTTCTAAAATAACTTGAAATTAAGTTTGAGTTACTCTTCATATGTCTTACAGCAATCAGTATACAGTATAAGACCATCCATTAGGCTGGGCGCGGTGGCTCACGCCTGTAATCCCAACGCTTTGGGAGGCCGAGGCAGGCAGATCACCTGAGGTCGGGAGTTCGAGACCAGCCTGACCAACATGGCAAAACCTTGTCTCTACTAAAAATACAAAAATTAGCTGGGCGTGGTGGTGGGCACCTGTAATCCCAACTACTCGGGAGGCTGAGGCAGAAGAATCACTTGTACCCAGGTGGCAGAGGATGCAGTGAGCTGAGATCATGCCATTGCGCTCCAGCCTGGGTGACAGAGCGAGACTCTGTCTCAAAACAAAACAAAACAAAACCATCCACTAATATCAATACTGAGTAATTCACAATAACTAACTTGTTTCATGTTCAGCTTTCAGTACACAGAAGTATACAAGGCTTTAACTATGACAAATGCACCAAGATTTTAATACATGACAAGGCCTCAGAGGAGTGTCTAGCTTTGATCTTACATTACAATTCAGGAAAAAGGTAGAAAAATGCAAACTTACACTCATCTCGGAACCTGGGTTCTGCGTTAGGGCCAACTCTACCAAATGTTTTTATGATCTCTGTATGCAAAGAATGTTGGTCTTGATACTGAGGATCTTCCAGGAAAGAAGCCAACTGCATTTTCACCCTTTCCAGCAACTTAAAATTGGATATTGTACAGTCATTTTATAGAGTATTGAAAACTGAGTAGTGTTGTTAAAGTGAAAGACACATGTTAAACATGACTTACAGCAGTGGATTAAAGCAACCTATATTCCAAAGACAGTAGAAATTTGGAATTAAGTAAGTAGTTATTTAATCTTTTGGCTCAGAGAAGTTTTCCTCCTTTGCTTATGCTTATAAATTCTTAATTAAAAAATACAAATATTCCCAACAAATCATAACAAAAGAAAAAAATCCCACTGTATTTAGGGAAAAGTAGGTAAACTTATGATTATTTTGTATCTAAATTATAATTCTTAAAACAAATCACACTGTAAGTTACCCAATTATTCACCTTCTGAAAGCAATGAGTCATTAATGACTTATATCTTACTCACATTTCCCTAAAAGACATTTTTATTTTAGGATTTGAGAACATGTTGAAATTCTGCTAAGACTGCAAGCTTTGCAGAATGATGTGCTTTTCCTCTGTGGCTTCACCAGTGAAATATATAAGTGAAAAAATGGAAAACATTCTTTCTGTAACTAACAAAACTTCAGTTTTTGTTATAAAAAATCTATATGATGAAGGAGTTTTATTAAAACTTTTCTCTTTTGGGTAATATGTCCACAAATAATTTATGTTCTAATCTACAAGTTTTTTTTTTCATTTGTATGAGGACATATCCAATATAATAACAAAGAATAAAAACCTGATACCAGTTTTGAGAAGTGTCTTACAGTTAGTGTTGCAAATAGAATCTAAAAAACTTGAAATCAGTTTCAGAATCAAAATACACCTTAAGAAGGAAGACCTTGGTGGTCTCCTGAAACAGGCATGACAGAGGGTCTGCCCAGACAATGATCTACTCTGCATCAAGAGAATACTAGTCTACTAAATGACTTTTACGGCTTCATATCAATGACACAGTTATCAGAATACAAGTGCCCTCTTGTCTTCATTGATAACTGAGATACATTTGTGTTCCTGATGTTATCTGGGAAAACAGTCCTGCAATCTCTGCAACACTGGCAATCAAGAATTTATGTAGATTGGCCAGAAGCCTACTGGATAACAGAAGGCTTTGGAACTAGACCTGATTTGAAGGATTATTCAAAACTGCAATATCCAGCTCGGCTTACAACAGAACATCTAGCAAGCTTGTCCAACACATCTTACTTTGTTGTTGATCTGTTTTGTTTTGTTTAAGGCTTTTAGCAGCCTGAAGCTGTGGTTTTTAGTTTCTGTCTCTAGTGATAAATAGAAAAGAGGGATGAGGAAGGGGCTTTACTGGCCCAATCAGAAAGAGAAACTAAAAACTCATGACTATATTCTCTCCCTTGGACATCCCTGAAAGATTGGCCTATACTTAATGTTCTGATTGAGAGGAAAGACTAGAGATCTCCTTAGGATATGGAAATATACCTTGGTTAGGCTACCATGTTTTCACATAGAGAGATCCTCCTCTGGCCTATAACTAACTAGGGCACAAAATAAAAGGTAAGATGCTCCCTGCTGTCTACCACCAGATACATGTATCGTGATCACCTCAATATTACACAGACATCAATAAATTTCAATTATTTCCTACCTCTCTTTGAATTACTGTTTCCATAATAGTGCCAAAGGCTGGAATTGTGGCAATCCTGACAGAGCTGTTAGAATTAAAAAAGAAAGAAACTGAAGCTTTGAGATGAACAATGAGTATTACTAAAATGTATATTAAAGTAAGTACAAGGTAAATATACTGTATTAGTCTCTAGCAATGACAAATTAAATAAATTTAAAAAAAGCAGACCAAGAAGAATGCTCAAAAAGACAGACAGGATAACTTAAGGTCGCAGTCTGTGAAACTCACAATTCAGGATCACTGGACAAGGTAACAAGGGCCGGAGCAACCCGCTTGTCAACTAACGCTTCACTCATGCCTCGAAGAGTCAGCTGTAAACCAGTCAACATGCAATAAAAAATGGTTTGGTAAACTGGAATAAGAACTGGGTTAGCTGTGACTGAGGATGGGCAGGCAGACTCATTGGCCTTTCTTGGTTTAGTCATCCACACGAGACATTAAAATGTTAGGCCTTTGGTTCATGCTACTACACTTACTGGTAACAACCTGTTAGTGAGATTAGGAGAGCATCCCTTCTTGGCTTGAAAGAAACAGTCCATCAGCATACTTATGGAAGTATTTATTGAGCACTAATATACTAATATATTTTTTCAATACATGGCCTCCAAATTACATTTACAGTGAGGGTTGATTTAAAAAGAACCATGATATATAAATAATAATATGATAAAGTTTAAAATCAAATAAGTATAATCCAATATTATTAATTTAAAGAGATTCTTCAATAAATTTAAGAGCTGATGGTTATTTCTTGGCAGGCACATTTTGAAATGGATGCTGAATATAAAAGGCAGGGATGACACTTACATTTCAGGGTCACTGGAGAGAGTAATGAGAGCAGGAACAACCCTCTGAGCTACCAGAGTTTCATTCACCCCCTTCACCAACAGCTGATTGGTCAGCACAGGGGGTATTCACAGGTGATGCACGGAAAGAGCAAACACAGTGCGCCACGGGAAGAAGGAAGGAACAACCAAGAGAAAGAGAGAAAACACAAAAGCAAAACCAAAATTAGAAGCTAAGCAAATACTGCTTCTAGAGTGCTTTACAAAGGCAGAGAATGCTTAGGAGGAAAATAAAGCTTAAGTAGCCTAGCGTCCACGAAAACAGATTTTGTCACCAGTTCAACAGCAGTTTGTACTTTTGGTCAAAGAGTCTAAGCAATTTCAATGTCCATCAAAATGCAACTTAAAAGAATACTTTTTTAGCTTCTTTGACATATACTGTGTTCTACGGTTAAAATTCTAGAAGTAAGGGTGGTATGCTTTTATTATGACCAACAGGGTACAAACTGGGCTATTTTTAAACCAAACTCACATAAGTAGCAGCCACGACTAAACCACTTATTATTGTGCTATAGCAAGTGTATTTTAAAACCACATAGGAAAATTCCTAACCTTTTAAATAATATAGCTTTTTCTTTTGAGGTACAGAGATACAATGCTGTCTATTGGAAAGTATTACACTTGGGAATCAGATCTGGGTTCAGACGCCAGTTCTCCACTTATGAGCCATGTGGTCTTAGATATATAGTATTTTCCATCATCTCTTGAAACGCAAGTTTTCTCATCTGAAAATGGTGATATTATTATCTACCTCAAAGGGCTGTTGTGCTATGAATTTGCAAATAACATACCTAAATACTGTGCCTGACAAACAGGCATTCAAGAAAGAGTTTAATTATTTCTATTACTGCAAGAATATATGATCTGTAATATGTTTGGAAGAAATGATCTAATTTAAACAACTTTTTGATAGTTCATATCTAAATATGACTTTTAGATTTCTTATAAATTCAAACAAAATTAAAAATAAAAAAGATGAGTAGAACTAGATCTCTATAGTCTAATCACAAAACAATTCATTTAGCAACCAATGCTAAATTGTAATACAAGAGAACGATACTGAGCCATATACATTTTGTTTGATAAATATTACTGAAGTTTATGAGTTCAACCGAGAAGTGCAATCCCCTTCTCAATTTCAGAATGTAAGCACATATTAATCCTAAATGCTTACCAATCTGTTTACCTAGTAACTAGTACTTAGTCCTCACAGAAGATCAAAGATGTCACAGAATTTTTAGTAACAAAAATCTACCATTGTGTGCATATGTGAAGGTATTCCTCCTATATAACACATCAGAGAAAGTAACTCACTTTATGTGAAGATTCTTAATTTTGCAATGATTTTTCACCATTTACCAATTGATTCATTTTAGAATCTATTTCAATATTCTGAAATAATTTTTATAAAAAAACACAGATAATTAACCAGGAATAAAATGACAAAGAACTTTTAATATCTTAAACATTACAGATATTGGATAGAAAGAAATAGGACAAGGAAGTTCAAATATTGTTAAATACAACCTTCTTCTCTGTATCATTTTGTAAGTAAGATTGCTTAGATTTGAATCAGTATCTTGAAATTTCTGTTATTTTGAGTCTGTCAAAAGCATTAAAAAAGAGGATAATGTAGGGGACAAATTAAGTTTTCATTGGTGTAGGGTTTTTAAATTCAATTTCTTTATTAAGCTAGAAAATCACAAAGTACATTTAAGAGCTATCAATTGTTACACACTTTAACACAATATATCATTTGATCTTTTCACTTGATGAAGTAAGTACAAATATCATCAATATTTTAACAGATGAAGAAACTGAGGCTTAGGTAAGTAACTTGTCCAGGGTTTTAGAGTCTAAGTCATAGGGTCTGCAAAGGAACTCTGTCCCATCTGACTTAAAATCCATGACTTCTTTGAGTTGTGTTCTAATGTGACATGCTCAATTTCCTTATGATTAAAATATATATGAAGTTCTTTTCTGCATCTTTTGGGAAATTTATTATAACACATGATAAATTCCTCTTATAAAATAATTTTATTAATTCGCTACTTCAAAAAGTAATTTATATTCTCTTATTTAAAACAATGGGAATAATATGATTGATTGGGTTCCCTCTTTTTGTCCTGCTGTCTAAAAACTAACCTAAATTTATTAGTGAATTTCAGTGACCATATCCTATTAGGTTCTTGGTATAAGCATTTCTCATTTTCTTCTCAACAGTTTCTGGTCTCACCTTTTAAAAAAAGAATTTTTTTTATGTTTTTATTTTGAATTAACTTTTTTAGGATAAGCAGGCATAATTCTAAATTATAAAGCATTGGTATCAAAATAAATCTTATGACCCTTTATTCTTTTAATACAATTTTGTTCAAATAAGAATCACTGACAAAAAAGGAACTTTAATTTCTCTTACTGATAACTTTTTCTGACATGCTCATTGAAATGTATCATTAATGAATTTGAAAAACATTGAAACAGTCTCTCAAACAAGATCCAGAAGTTCATCAACGACCTGAGAGGACACTGAAAACTGCTTAAGTATAGATAGATATAGTTTCCAGACCAGCACTGACAGCAAACAGAGAAACCAAAACCAGACATAAGCCACATACAAGAAGGCAGAAAACCAAACAAAACAAGCAAAAACCCTCAAAGCAAATGAACAGGGAGGATTCATTTTATTTACTTATTTTCATTTATATGGTATGATTCACCAGTGCACACTCACATTTCAGAGAGGAAAGATATAAGAAAAAGAAATGGCTTTTATGAGCTTAGAATAAAATCATAGGAAGAGAGTGTATGAAAGAAATAGCTCTTCATTTAAAAAGATACTTTTTTCTTTTTGGGGAGAGGAGATTCTGATGAATGACTTTTCTTTCATGGTCATGCCCCCTTTTCAGCATATTGAATAATCAAAACAATTTACATCCAGAAGGAACTTGTACTAGACATAAAACCAAATAGTGACTTTGGCATTCATCTTCACAAAAAACCTCTGATTATGGCTTTTTAAAAATTGCTTCTGTATGATAACTGAGGGAATAACATGGATGGAGAATTTTCAGCTTCCTGACAACAATGGAGTCTTCTTGAATTCACAAATCTAACTTACATATTTCAAAATTTTAGAAAGCATATATTTTAAATATATCACTACCCCATCTCCAATTGCATTTATTTTCAATTGTGGAGAAATTCTGATATTCAGCAAGATTTGAATTATCCAATTCTTTTTATAGAAATAAATGTTTAGATATTTTAAGAATCACATGAATATTGGGGCAATTTTAGTTTGGATAAGTATATGTTCCCTATTACCATCATATATTTTGTGAAGTAATAGCATGGATGAAAAAATAATGATAATGACAGTAAACATATAAACATTTATTATGGGCTTATATAAAACATATAAGCACTTATTACGTTCCAGAGACTGTTTTAAGGGCTTTAAAAGCATTAATTAGTTTAATATTAACAAAAATCCTTTCAGACTGATACTTTGAGACAGATACTTTTTGTTATCAACTTTCTTTTGTAGATGAGGAAGCTAAGGTACAGAGAGGTGCAACCTTGTCCAAGTAATCTACAAAGTCGCTAGGTATCAGAGATGGAAACTGAATCCAGGCAGCCTAGGTTTATTGCAAGACTGACGATCAACAAGAAACAGTAGACCAATTTTAGTGCTCAAATAAAGTTCTAAACCTCAACCTTACTGCTCCCTGCCTACACACATACTAGGGCTATGACATAATTTGCTATATGATGGGTACAAAAGATAGTTCTTTCAATTTCATACTTCACTTGGGTAGGTAGTAATTTAATACAATTTAGGTAAATTATCTGCTCTCCTCTCTTTTATAACTCTATGGGCAGTTAATGTATTGGGATGCTATTCTACATATGAAATGTTAGGGAATAGTGAAGTAGGAGTAATCAATAAAATAAACATTTCCGTAATTGCAATAATTCATTTTCTAATGCTACTGATAAATTCAACTGTATTTTACAATTTGAAAGATATCCTATGCTTTTTCAGTTTATTTTAGTAGTCATTTACCTCAGTAAATAGAAAAGTATAGTCAGAGTTGTGTAAGTTAGAAATTAAAATAAGATTTAAAAGATAGTTGGAGAAATAAAAGTGATAACTGAATAACATTCAAGGAACCAGTAAGGTGAAAAACCATTTTTAAATATGTTAAAGCTAAATTTCTGCCCCATCACACAGTACACAACTAGACACTGTTAAAAGCCATAAAATATATATTAACATAACATGATATGCGAAGCTTTTTTTTTTTTTTTTTTAAAAAAAACATTCCCTTCTTCTTCTCAAAAAAAAAAAAAAATCATTACAATTGAAACCAACAGAGGCATCTGTTGACATACCTCAAA